AGGGGCGGCGAAGGAGAGGAAGACCCTCGATGAGATGGATCGATTCTGTGAGTGGAGTGGTGGGAATGAGTGTGTTTGAGATGGCGAGGTCGGCACAGGATAGAGCGGCGTTTAGGGCTGTTGTACATAGGGTCGCTGTAAGTTGCAAAGGACTCGATGGCACATAACAACAATCTGTAACTTGTCATGTCCTTTTGGGGAGAAGAGTGTCAAAGGGTGCTGAATCCCCACAGAACAATGGACAAGGAACTATTAAAAGAATTATAGGGGGGGATTGCGTACCAATGAGGAAGTTTTGCTTTTGCTTTTAAAGGAGAGAAGCAAACGGGGGTGCGGGCAGGCGCGGTCGGTGGGAAGAAGGGTGCAACAATGAATGAATGGAATTCCGAAATCTCTGTAGATGTTCATTGAAATGAAAAATAAATTTTTTAAAAAAAGAATTATAGGTCACTGCCCCTTTTGTCTGTCCTAGTTCACTGTTTATATTCAAAGCTACAGTTCAAGCAGGTGAGGCCTCTTTCCTTATTTCCCGTTTATCCATAACTGCTGAACGGGTGACAGTACACGGGAGATGACCTGCTATTGGATAGACCTGGATTTGAGCCCTGGCTCTGCCATTTGTAAATACTGTGGACTTGGGAAAGCTACTTAACCTTGCTTTACCTTGATTTCTTCAACTGGAAAGTGGAAATATGAGTATGGTAATGGAAATTAGATCAACCTTTAATTCCTCACATGCTTGCCAAATGTCTAGCATACATATCCACTATGTAGGAAATGTTCAGTTAATGGCATTGAACTATGAACTTCTTATATTGGCACTTTTTTAATATTCTTTGGGAATGAAAATATTTTTCTGAATTTCTGTCCATTGGTAAACTTATTTCCTACATTGTTAATGTCTTGGCTGAAAGTAGAGAATACGAGAAGAATATCTATTTGTATCTTATTGACTGTGCAGAGACATTTAACAGTGTGGATCGTAACAAACTATGACTGACATTGAGGAAAATGGGAATCCCAGAATGCTTGAGTGCTCATATGAAACCTATCTAAAAAGCTGTTGTCCAAACAGCAAGGGAACACTGCATGACTTAAAATCTAGAAAGGTGTATATCAGAATTATATCCTTTCTCTACACCTATTCAGTATGTATGTTGAGCAGATCATTTGAGAAACTGAACTTTATGAAAAAGAATGTAGCATCAGGAGTAGAGGAAACTTATCAACAACCTGTTATGCAGATGACTCAACCTTGCTTACTGAAAGGGAGAAGGACTTGGAGCACTTGATGCAGAAGATGTAAGACTGTTGTCTTCAATATGGATTACATCTCAGTATCAAGAAAACAAAAATCCTTACATCATGATAGATGGAGAAAAGATTGACTTGTCAAGGATTTATTCTTACTTGGATCCAAAATCAACACCTTTAATACCAGTAGTCAAGAAATCAAAAGATATATTGCATTGGGAAGTCTGATGTCAGGGACAGCTCCGAAGCTCTAAGGAGTAATGATGTCAGTTTAGAGACTCAGATAAACCTGATTCAAGCCATGGTCTTTTCAGTCACATGCTGTCCATATGAGAGTTGGAACAGTGAAAAAAGCATGACAGAAAAGTCAATGCCTTTGAGTTGTGTTGATGGAGAAGAGTACTAAATATCCCATGGACTGCCAGAAGAACAAATACATCTTGGAGAAAATGCATCCAAAGTGCTCCTTAGAAGCAAGGAAGGCAAAATTTCATTTTATATACTTTAGTCATGTTGTCTGGAGGGGTCATTCCTTGGGGAGGGATATCATGTTTGGAAAGGTGGAGGGTCCGTGGAAGAGAGGAAGCCCCTCAATGAGATGAATTGACACAGTGACCGCAGCAGTAAGCTCAAGTATGTCAGAGATGATGAGGATAGCACCGGATAGGACAGGGTTCAGTCATACTTCACTTGAGGGCACTTGACAACAATTATGGACAAGTCTTTTTATGTGGCTTTTTAGTCATATGTCACAAATTCGCCTCAGTAACTTGAAAAATTGCCTTTCAAGCCTGATTTCTAAATCCAGAGCGCTTTTGGAAAATCTGCATAATATGCAATTTTAGGTAATTCTGTTGTTATTATTGTTGTTGTTGTTATTGTTGCTATGTACCATGGAATCACCTGCAACTCATAGTGACCCTATGTACATTAGCTTCTATAGTCTTAAAAATAATTTCTGAAAGAGTCAAAGAATATATTAACCCTGTTTGCCTATGTGTCATTTTTAGGGATTACAGAGAATTACCTTAGCCATAAAACCTCAACTGAGAAATTAGATGATAAACTATATCTGAGACAAGACTGAAATGAAATTCAGTGTCTTTTTCTATTAAAAGCATGCTAAAAACAGGATAACTCTCAAATTGGACCTAATATTGTTTTAGAATAAATAATGAGGTATAAGTTTTAGGTGATCAAAATATATATTCTTTAGTGAGACATCATAGAAAATCACTGAGTATGTAATATTGAGATTTTTTATTTTATTTTATTTTATTATTTTTGTGTGAGTGTACCGTCAAATCAGATCTGACTGGTACAGGAGGAGATTGTCCCTCCTTCCCCAGCAGAGCATCTGGTGGATTCGAACCGTGTGCCTCTGGGATTGTAGTTGCAGCTCCTTGCCACTAGGCCACCAGAGCTCCC